ACGAGGAGGAAAATCGATAGACAGAATACACTACACAGCAGAACAACATTAGAAGAGATAAAAGAGGAAAACACCAGATATATCACATTTAGCTACACCGGGACTACAACACAAAGGACTGCTAACAGATTCAAGAAATACGGAGTTTCAATAGCATACAGGACTCAGAACACCATGAGTAAAATACTGTATCCAAAAATAGAAGATTGTAACAAATTCGACACTTTGGGCATCTATAAAATCAATTGTAACGATTGTGATAGCTTCTACATTGGACAGACTGTGAACTTCATTAACCGCTTCAAAAACCACATATCTGCGTGGAGGAACAACAGACCGGAAAGATCAAATGTCGCACAACACCTGTTACAAAATGGGCACTCACTAGGAAAAATGGAGGATAGTCTAGATATTTTAAAGAATTGTAAGAAAGGATATGAATGCTTGGGAAGAATTGTATATTTATAAGGAAAAATGTAAAGATAGAAATAAGTTGATTAATGAACAAATACATTTTGATTCCAGTTGTACTTATAAAAATGTATTGGCCGGTGCTTCCGGTAGCCAATAGGGTATAAGTAGGGACGCCATTCAAGATTCTTGTCATTCGCATATTGGGTCTGATGATGATTGGAGTATCCAATCGAAATCGATCACCACTTACCATCTTTTTTGTATATTTACTGTCTTGTGAGTAACAGTATAAGCGTAAATATATATTTTAAGTGTTATAAGACGTTTCTTTTATTTACTTTCCGTAAATTTAATAACACGTACAATGCTGATCAAGAAGTTATTTACCTCATTGACAGTTAAATAGCTGTTGAACCTCACTGACAATGCCTGGTATATAGGGGTCTGCGGTACAGACAATTTAAGGTCGGTACGGTTCGGTACGGTACAATATTTTGTACCTCGGTTCTTGGTACAAAATCGGTACGGTACGCGGCTACCCGTATTTTTGCGGTTTTCTTCTCAGATCTGTATTTGAACCATTATTTTTAATTTTAATACATTGTCATTACTATGAAAATGGATAGTATCCTACATTCATGGTTTTCTAACAACAATTACTGTACCATACATTATTAAAACCTTTTACTCCTACGAGGATTGTGTCAAGAAAAATTACAGTTAAGATAAAGGCTTTACCTATTTACTTATTTATTTATTTACTATTTATTTATTTTAACCTATTTTACTCTGAGATACTTTGAATAGCATGATAAAAATTATTTCCAACCAATACAATGTCTAGTTGTATTTTAAACTTTTAAAAACATACAAAAGCATTCAGTACAAAAACAGTGTAGTTGACAGCTATTCACATTCAACAGATGACAATGAAAAACAGGGTGTTATGATGAAGTAATGGTAAAGAGCATCTTTTTTATCAGCTTGAAAACTAATTATAAGATGGATACATCTATTGAAAAGTTTTTTCTTTAACTAAAATTTGGATTACCACAGAGTAATATTATTGTATTTTCATGTACAAAGTTAACATCCACACATATCAATCATTAGTTCATTATTTCAGACTCAATCCAATTTCTTAGTATATTTTAAAGATCTTCCAAAGAGTCAAAAGACCCAGGCCTAGACCTAATTATTTAGGATGGCCTATATAAATTGAGTAGGCCTAGGTTACAATGAGGGTAGCAAAATCACTATCATAATTCTAGTTCATAAGATTTAGATTGCATAAAGTACCTTCAACACAATAAAAAAATATAGGAAACAAAAAACATTTAAACCTTAACAGCCACATCCAACAATACAAGACAAGATACAGAACATGCAATGACATAATTTAAGACCGAGAAAAAAATTATGCAAACAACAACTACTACTACTAGCTTGTAGTTTCATCAATAGAAAGATAAAATATTCATAACAAATTATTTAACTTGTAAAATAAGATTGTAGATTAGTTACAACTTTAATATGAAGCCATAAACAGTTTTATGGCAGTAGGCAATGGCCAGCGGCAAATTGAATATTCACGAAAATACTGACTGAGTTAGAGATAAAATTTACAGTTATCATAAACCTATTCTTTTGATGATAAAATAGAATTGGGGAAAGTCGTAAAGGAATAAAAGTGATAAAACTCAACAGTTCTTGGAAGTGTTGAATACAACAATTATAGCATCATCACCCTAGTAATAAATTATGAAGATCGTAAACAAACATCTGATAAGACTTTTAAGTGCTCAGAACCAACTACAGTTGATTATGATAAGTAATTTATTATTATAATAGGCTGTACCGAACCGAATTTGTACCGCCCCTACTGGTATACTTTTTGTTATGTATTCTATTGCTTGAAGTGTAGTTTTTGTTTTTGTTTTTTTTTAGGGAGAGGAGGGAAAATGCTTTTATGCCCACAGGTAGCCAGCCTGTAGTGTGAGACTCCTGAAATTATCAGACTAATCACTAAAAAAAACCCCTCTACTCTGTTGGACACAGACCTGGAATTGTTTGTCACATTACTTCAAGTCAGGCCAACATGTGGCCTAAGCCCTCAGGGCTCGCACCGTTTCTGGCATTTACATTCTTTATGACCTACACCACATCCCGGTCAAGGTCGAGCTTCTTGGTGCGGAGAATACCCTGGATGTAATGTGACACACACGTCCAATTGTCCTCACCCTCCGTCATCATCGGTATGACCGTGTCCACCGACAGCAGTCCTACTAACTGTTGAGCCTCCAGGCGGGGCCTTTCCCAGCGCTGGCAGTGGAAAAATGTATGTTCCACGTCATCGAGAATGCCTGGGCAGTATATGCAATCGGGTGACACGGCTTTGCCCATCCTGAACAGGTACGACCGGAAAAAGCCGTGTCCCGTCAGAAATTGGGTGAGGTAGAAGTCCACCTCTCCGTACCGCCGATTAACCCAAGGTTGGACTTGCTGTATCAGTCGCCTGGTCCAGCGTCCCCGTGTCTCCTGTTCCCAGCCCTCCTGCCACAGCTGGTACGTGCGGGTGCGTTCCTCTGTTCGTGCCTCGTCCTCCCCACGGCGCCGGTAAATTGCCTTTCTCTCCGCCGCCAAAAGTTTAACGGGGATGACTCCAGCAACCACCAGGACGGCGGGCTCTGACACTGTTCGGTAGGCAGATGCTACCCTCAGTGCTGCCTGACGCTGCACTCGGGCGAGCCGCATCCTGTATGCCTCCTTATTTAGTGCGTCTGCCCACACCTCCGCACCGTACAAGAGTACGGAAAGGACCGAAGACATTAACAGCCTTCTACGACTGGACCGAGGCCCTCCGACATTGGCCATCAACCGGCTTGTCCGCTGTACGGAAGATCTGATCCCGCCAGCTAAGCTTGCTGTCTACCATGACCCCAAGATACTTGGCAGAACGAACGGTTTGAACCTCAACGGCACGATGGTGTCAATCCGTTTTTTTGTCAAAATCACGATTTCTGTTTTGCTCAAAGCAAGCGAGAGACTGTGGTCTGCCATCCATGCGTTTTCCATGCTTTCTTTATATCTTTTATCTTCATGCTTGAAGTGTAGTGCCAAGTCTATGGATGTCCGTATGAACTTGGTTCTTTCACCTGACAATCATGGCAAAATCTTCATTCATGGTCTTGTAGACATCATCATTGTCCTCGGCGATCTAGGCAAAAGTGTGCACTTTTGACTGTGGACACTTTGCAGGCGCGTTCTGTGTTCACAATAGTAAATAAAAGCTCTGCTTGACTTAGCTTATTTTCTATAAAATATACTTAGAAAAAAATATAGTTAGATACTTTGGTAACTATCTGAATATCTGATTATCCTAATGTGGTATCGTCTAAATTTATTATATATTAATATATTAATAACTACCGTCCAGTATCAGTATTAAGTAATTTTTCTAAAAATATTTGAAAAATTAATAAGCTGTAGACTAGTTAATTATTTTGAAAGTAATAATTTATTTTACAATAAACAATTTGGTTTCCAAAAAAACTTAAGCACAGTTTCTGCTCTCACTCAGTTTGTTAATGAGATTGCAGAGGCCTTGGACAGGTCTCAGGCCACAGCAGGTGTTTTCTGTGACCTGTCTAAGGCTTTTGATTGTATGGATCACTCACTCCTGTTGCTGAAACTTTATGATTATGGGATTGGGGGAAGTTGCTTTTCTTTAATACAATCTTACCTTTCTGAAAGAAAACAAATAACTTTAATTTTAGAAGATAACAACAAACATTATTCACCATGGGAAATTATATCCATAGGTGTTCCCCAAGGCTCAGTATTGGGCCCACTTTTTTTCTTATTTACATTAATGATCTTCTAAAAGCTTTTAATAAAGAACTAATTCTTTTTGCCGATGACACTACTGCTTTGATCAAAAATAATAATACAACTGAAATGTTTACTTCTCTCTGCAAAGTGTGGTAGAGGATATGCAGCAATGGTTTTTAGAAAATGGGTTAAAACTTAATGTTGAAAAAACAAATATTATTAAATTTTCTACTAGACATAAAAATATGGAATTCAGTTAAAAATGAGCTACCAGAAACAATACATTAATAATACAAACCTGAAATGAAAATATATTCGTTTGACCCTAATGAAAAATCTCCATTGTATGCTGGGCTGAGATTGTGCAATGTGCTTCCGCCATGCTATAAGTCATTAAGCAAAACCAAATTTAAAGAGACGGATAATTTACTTATTGACAAGGCTTTTTACTTAATTGAAGATTTTTACAGAACTACAATTTAGAATTTTTTTTAATTTTTAATTTTAAATGTTTAATTTTAAGTTAAATTTTAATGTTAAATATTTTATGTATGGATTTAATTTTGACAATGCACCTATTCTAAATGTTATGACATGTATGGAATGTTTTTTGCAAATAAAGTATTTCTATGTCTATGTCTATTCGTATAGTTTAAGTTCTACTGTACTATACTTACATATACTATATGTTCCATAAAGTTTTTGTTTTTAAATATTGTTATTAGTTAACTGAGCCTCATGTTACAATGTTGCAGCCAGCCCGTGACATACAAGACGTTCCGCATGTACCGAGTGCTGGGCAAGGGGGGGTTTGGTGAGGTATGTGCTTGTCAGGTGCGAGCCACGGGCAAAATGTACGCCTGCAAGAAACTTGAGAAGAAGCGAATAAAGAAGCGGAAAGGGGAGGCCATGGTTCTCATTGAGAAACAGATACTTCAAAAAATCAACTCTAGATTTGTGGTGAGGAATCTGAATCCACTTCCCATTGCTAAAACATTTGTGTCAAATAATCTAAACTTGTGGCAGCTCTTAGCGAATTTCCCTATTGGGAAGTAGCCTATTACCGTAGGTCTCATGGTAAGACCTAGGCCCGGGACCGATTTACTTTTTCATTTAGATGACCTCAGAGACCAAAAACACCATTCGTTCAATTTTAGCAAATTTCCCATATAAGGCATAAGCTATTACCTTAGGTCTCATGGTAAGACTTGGACCCGGGACCGATTTACTTTTTCGTTTTGAGGTCCCTAGAGGCCAAAAACACCATCCGTTCGAAGGGAATAAGCTATTACCTTAGGTCTCATGGTAAGACTTGGACCCGGGACCGATTTACTTTTTCGTTTTGTGGTCCCCAGAGGCCAAAAACACCATCCGTTCGAATTTGTATGTATACAGGGGGTTCAAAAAAGGTGGGGACATATTTTACCTAGTGATTCCTTGGGTCAAAATAAAGAGAAAATCAAGAATAACATTTTTTCCAAAATCGCTTCGTTAACCAGATATTGTATTTTTTTGTATTTTTTTCATAACAATTTTGATTTTTTCAACCGATCTTTATAAAACTTGGTATGTAGGTTAAGGTAGTTAAGACCAATGTTAGAAAAAGAATTCATCTTGATTCAATTTAAAATTTCAAAATGGCGGCCATTTGAATTTTTTTAACTTAAATTACTCAAAAACGGCTAATGTTATGAAAAAATGTCAAGGACACTTTTATTTAGCAGTTTTGATTCCCTATCAAACTATACCAAGTTCAAAAAGCTCGAATAAGAAATAGCTGAAATATTACGATTTTTATTTGTAAAATGGGGTAGAATATGGCAGAAGCTAGTCAGGTTTACCCCATTTTACAACTAAAAATCGTAATATTTCAGCTATTTCTTATTCGATCTTTTTGAACTTGGTACCGTTTGATAGGTAATAAAAAATTCTAAATAAAATCGTTTTTGGCATTTTTTCATAAAACCAGTCATTTTCGAGTAATTTGAGTTTAAAAGTTTTAAATGGCCGCCATTTTGAAATTTTAAATTGAATCGAGATGAACTTTTTTTATGACACGGGTCTCGTCTACCTTAACATACATACAAAGTTTCATAAAGATCGGTTGAAAATATTAAAAGGGGAAAATGTTTATGTAAAAAATACAAAATGACGGATATCTGGTTAACGAGCGATTTTGGAAAAAATGTTATTCCTGATTTTCTCTTTATTTTGACCCAAGAAATCACTAGGTAAAATATGTCCCCACCTTTTTTGAACACCCTGTATATATATTATTTATATAGGCCTATGTGTCCGTTAGCGTGATAACTCCACCAAAAATGATCCGATTTTGATGAAATTTGGTACAAACGTGTAAACCTGCGTTTATTCAAACGAGTTCGTGAACCAGCATAATCGGACTATGGGAACGGGGTTTTATGGGGTAAAAATTAATTTTTCCCATTTTTGACCCTAAAAACAAAAAAAAATCATAATTTCTCTCCAAACCATTTTGTAGAGCTTAAAAAAATTTATAATTTTGTATATTGAAGTGTTGTTGTATCCCCAACAATTACGGAGATAAAAAAAATGAACATTTAAAATTCCTATGTTATTCTTATGGAGTATAAATAAATTGTTGTAGTTTGCTTGTTTATGGATATATTTAAACCAAATTTGGAAATTTTGTTTATTTAATACTAAGCTATCGACATTGCAATAAAAAAACACATCTCAATATCTTCCCTCTAGCAGCAAACCTAGTTAATCGCTAAAATTAATGTTAATTAAATAGGAAATAAATCTGACAATTTTTAGGGAATATTTTAGTAGAAATCCAGCCAGGTAAATGGAAATTTGCTTAGTCTGCAGGTTTGCTGCGTCAAGGGTATTTTATATATGTATATCTATATATATAAAAGGCAAAGCCCTCACTGCCTGACTGACTCACTCATTCACTCACTCACTCACTCATCACTAATTCTCCCACTTCCCATTTTCCTAGGAGGCTTACATTTGGTACACTGATTCTTTAGGCATTAAATAGGAAATCTTAAGTTGTTTTTATTCTGATCGGACTCTCGGGCTCCGCCCCAGTAGCTCTGGAGTTTCCCATTTTAACCTTATGAGTACTCATATTTAAATGGAATTAATGAATCTTAACAGCTGTTTCAATTACACAAGTTGGTTCTGTTCTATGATGTTCAATAGCATTAAAGTTACAAGGATTACCAACAGGGTGGAGCACTATTATTTTTTTAAATTTATGACAACAGCTAATTTGCAACCAAAAGGTGCGTGAGCGTAGCGAACGTACTTCAACCTGGTGGCGAGTTAGCGTAGCGAACGAGCTAACCTGAAGGCAAGTGAGCGCAGCGAACGAGCTTCAACCTAAAGGTGAGTGAGCGTAGCGAACAAACTTCAACCAGGACGTGATTGAGCCATGCGAACAAGCTCACTAATGAAGTAAAACGGGGCAAAGCCCACGGGTACAGCTAGTATATATATATTAGGGGTCTGCGGTACAGCAAATTTAAGGTTGGTACGGGTTGGTAAAGTTGGTATTTGTGAACAAATCAGTAATTTCAAATCAGTAGCCTATCCTATGTAAATACTGTTATTTGATTGCCAAGCCAAGCCTATACATACATCCAGTCACAACTATAATAATAAGTAAATAATTAATTACCTAGGCTTATAGAAGTCCACTTTTAACCAAGGTATGGATAATTGTCTAGGCCTGTCCAGGAGTACAGTTACGATTACGATAAGTCGGGCTAATAGCCTAAACTCATATGCGTGTAAAATTACCAGTGTTGGGGAAGCTACTTTTAAAATGTAGCTAGCTACAGCTACTGCTACATTTTCAAAAAAGTAGCTTAGCTACAGCTACAGCTACATATCCAAATAAGTAGCTAGCTACAACTACAGCTACAATGAAATGTACAATGCTACAATTTTAGCTACTTTTTCAAATATATATTTTTTACCGTAGGATGTGTTTTATTTGGTACATTATTGCTGAAACTCTACTTGATGTAGTAAAATCAAATTGACTTTTTAGATGCTTTAACTGAATCCCTGTAACTAAACTTAAATTAGGTTTTTATTGAATCAACACAACATCTTACATCCTAGCTTAAAAATGGCTTCATAATGAACATTGAACACATAAGCATATTCAAATCTCATATGGCAGTCTACTCCACCATTTACTGGGTCTATACCGGGTTTAAATAAGGTTAAATATGGAGATTTCTTAACATTTCCAATTAAAAATAAACTGGATGTGTCGCCAGCCTAACGGTTAACATCTCGGACTTAGTATTCTCAAATCATTAGAAAGGGTTGGATGGTTGCCAATTAAAAAAGGGTTGAAAAACGTCAATAAAAAAAGCAACTGACATAACAAAAAATAAATATATGGCACTATTATAATAATGAATAGGCTAAAATAAATAACTATAATAATGGTACAATACCTCGTCAAGTAGTCCAAATGATGATTGAGGTTAGAAACCTACATGTTTCGCCGTAAATACGGCATCGTCAGGGTTACAAAAACGATGACTGCAGTCTACTACCTGCGCCGGGACCGTCCGTGTCGTGTGCGTGTGATAGGCCTATCAATGTCAATTAAATGTTTACTTTGTCTTTCCGTAATTAAATGTTCGTATCCGTGTATTTATTGTGTGCGTGTGACATCGATGTCTTCGTTTTTGTAACCCTGACAATGCCGTATTTACGGCGAAACATGTAGGTTTCTAACCTCAATCATCATTTGGACTACTTAACGAGGTATTGTACCATTATTATAGTCATATAAAGTAATCCAGGGGCCATCAACATGGAATAAAATAAATAGGCCTACAAAAATAATTTTTACTCAAACCTATCTAGCCTATATTGTTAAAACTTAACTAACCAAGCAAAGAGCCCTAAGATGACATCCTAAATAGCCTATAGACTTTTAGACGAATCCATAATAAACATCTCTTAACTTAGTTCCACTTTCATTCCATCAAAGTCTTAGTTAGGCCTATCACAAAGACTTAAAGTCGTACATGCAGTTCAAACACATCTTACATTTCATTAGACAATTCCCCTTTTCGTTTACTTTATTAAATTTTAAAAAATCTTCATATGCCGACCAAGGAAGGGCTTGTGATGAATCACAATCAGTAGCGGTTTGATGGACCAGCCTTTTCATCATTTGAAGATCCTGAAACTTTTAACTTGGTTTCCATTGAAAAACCAAGTTAAAACGATTGATTGGTACAAATTAAAAAATAATTTACAATTAATTGTAGTGTCAACTCCAACAGCTGTCAAACTCACAAACGTTCAATAGCCTGTAACTAGAGTTCTGTTCGTGGTTCTGTTCTAATAGTTTTGAAACGTTGTCTGCGTCGAGCGGTTAGGTCTGATAGAGTGGCCATAGAGTAGTGAATTAAAGGAATGAAAGTGAAAAATGTCTTTAACATCAACATAATCAATACTCTTTGGCCTCTGTGTCTATGCAAAACTGCAAAGAAAAATTATAAAACAGCCGCGTCTAGATTTTGGCTTCACACAAGTAGTTAAGCCTATTTTATTTTGAAACTTAAGTTCAAAAGACGTTAAGAGTAAGGTTGTGATAAAAATCACTAGTTCAAGAAATATATAAGTAGCGAGGAAAGTAGTTAATATTCCGCTACAACTACTTAAAAAAAGTAGCTCGCTACTGCCCTAGCTACAAAATTTGAAAAGTAGCGTAGCTACAGCTAACGCTACAAAAAAAGTAGCGCGCTACTGTAGCGTCGCTACTTGTAGCGCGCTACTTCCCAACACTGAAAATTACTAACTTCAGTTGTTATAACTAAGCTTTCCTGTAATATAAAAAAAAACTCCATCTATTTTCCCGTAGTTAAAAGAATTATTATACATTCAACAGCACAGGATATTGGCATTTTGATGTCAGGACGTAATTTACAACCCAA